TCGAAGTGACATATGTATGCTCATTTACATTTCATGCATATCGATCATATTGAAATTATTGCAAAAAAACTTTTTGTTTGTTCTTATGGGTATGCTAGCAAATCAGTTCTGTTGCAATATCCATAAAAACAGCTGAAGGAAAGGCTCGAGGTAGGTAAATTTAAGCCTAAATATTCACACTGTATTCAGCCAAGTAAGGGGCAGGAATATAGTATGACTTATCCAGATAATCCTCATCAACAGATCATATACTTCATACAAATCCTTTCATATAAATACATCTGAAGAATCACTGTTCCGTGCAACTTCCTTTGCTGTTTCTGCGGAGAATTTGAATTTCCTGACTATTAACATCTCACAACTTTTATTGTCTTTGTTTTGCTTGCAACTATTCTTTCTACAAAACCCTTAAGTGCTGGTGTAGAAAACTGAAAAAAAGCCAGCATTGAAATACATTGTGTCTGAAAATCGGAAAGTAGAAAGGGTGTTAAACTTCTTTTATCAGTTATTGTCTTTGTTCTTTTTTTAACCTTAAAAAACAAAACACAACCAAAAAAACCCAAAAACCAAAAACACTGTACTTTTGAACCATTTCTGAGAACAGCAGCTATTACATGGCTTTTGTACAATAACACTTAGCATTTCTTACAGATTGGCTTCCCTCACTTCTCACCCCTCTGGACAGCTCTCAGGTGCGTGCAATGTAATCATGCTGCCTTTGTCATTCTTCTAATGAGAAGGCACAAGTTTTAACATTTACAGAAAACCTGCTATATCTTGCAAGAAGTCATGTGATTTCTGATATTCCTGTAGCTGACACATGCAGCACACCCAAGCAAACCTCTGTTATTCAATTAAGGGCTGAAGAAAGGTAAAAACTGACTTACTGTGAGCATAAGTTGTCGTAATTTTTTTTCTCTTTTTTTTTTTTTTTTTTTTGTACTGGTGAGTTAGTGCTACAGCACTGTGCTGCAGTGATGATCACGTACAACAAAATATAGCACTGGGTTAGCAATTGCCAATCAAATAGAAGTGAGAAAAATTTCAAGGTATTCTAAAAATCGAAGTATGACTCCTACTTTTGGTAAGACATCCTGTAATTGTTGCATTTTCCTCCTCCACCTACTTGCATTGTGTGTGCACAAATACACATATAATTAAAAATATCTCTCTACGTGTATTTGAAAAGACAATATGCTAGTGACTACGCATAAAGAACAAAGACACATTCTGAATAGGTGTAGGAAGTCTGAATAACTTCCTTCATTTTAATGCTTGCTTTTATTCTATCCAGCATCCATCACACTTCATGTTCGTGACAGCTGCAACTCAGAAAAGATGCAAAGGATTTGCAACCTCATATAAAGCTTTTATGCTGTATTGTCCTTCAAACTGTATCAAATACAACAGTTTTTCCTTACTGCCATCTCACTAGTAACTAGAATTTTTTGCCACCATCACCCATTCACTCATTAGCATATGTAAATCTTTCCACATTTTCAAGGTGTAGTCTGTCACACAAAGCCCCACATACCCACACTTTTATTTTTTTGTACCCACATCTCAACAAAGTAAAATAAAATAAAAGACGGCTCATCCAGACAAGCGTGTAACTTCTGAACTTGCTGCAAAGCACATTAATGTCTGGACTTGTACATTAATGTGTGTATTTGTAGTACAAGTCACTGACAGTTCTGTAAGAATGTTTGAAAACACCAGCTGAACACAGATTTATCTATGCATGCTTTTCATTTATTTTCTATATTAGAAAATAAGATGCAGAAGGTGAAACCTGCTTGCATTATGCTGGAGTCTATAAACATTATAGCAATGTTTTGTTTTAAAAGCAGGATTCCTCAGACTGGAGAACCTAATAACTGTAAAGTCCAATTCTCTTTCAAGTAACCTTTGAAAGAATTAAACTGTACTGTGGAAAGTTAAATTTAGTTTTCTCAAGCTCTTAGCTCAAGGAAGTTACACGGCTGTTGTGGTTTAACCCAGCAGGTGGCTCAGCACCACACAGTGGTTCACTCATTCCAACCCCTTCCCAGTGGGTTGGAGGTGAGAACAGAAAACAAACAACAAAGTAGAACTCGGGGATTGAGATAAAACTATTTACTAAGTTACGGAAAAGGAGGGAAAAAAAAGATTATTTTTATATTAATAGCTATTATTATAGTGTTCTCATCCCAGAAGAATTATGCAGAAGGTTCTGTGGTGGGTTTTCTCCCTTCTTATTTGTATTTATTAATTTTTGAGACAAATAACTGTATATGAAAACAAAAGATACACATCCTGTGTGCAGAGCCACTGGTTTGTGGAACTAACACTAACATCAGTCTGCAGAAAGGAAGATTTAAGTTCTGAACACTAGCTTCGCTACCATTCACTGTTGTAAAGATAACGTCGTATTTATTTACAATTTTTTTTCTTTTGCTTTAAAAGTAGCATAGAAATGCACGTGAACTAGCAAGTAACCCTATTTTGATCACAAAGAGAAAAGGTTTACTTACCTTTTTGTAAGCTAAGTTGGAGGTTTGTGGGGCAGATGCTCCCGGCTCAGCTGAAACCCTACATGAAGAGTGTTACAATTTTGTAAGTAGTGGAAGTGAGATGAAGAGTAGATGGAAGGAGAGGTGTCTTCCACCATCCTTCCATTTTCAATCTTTTTACCTAAGCAAAGCAGGATTCCTAGACTGAACTTAGGTGCGTCTGACACAGGTCCTTAGAAATAGATTCTGCTTCAGTTCCAGACATTCCGCCAGGCAGAGAGGGATCAGAGCCACAGTTGTGAAAAGTCCCAGCAACATACATTTGCCCAAACTGGGACTTCTTTTTGTGCCTTTGTGGGATACAGAGCCTGCAAGAGCTTGGGGCGGGTACTGACTTCCCAGAATTGTTTTGATTTCCATTGAGCCTCAATGAAATTTTAAGAAGAAACAAATGCCACAAGCCTGCGTGTTCATAGCTCTGCACCTTGGATTCAGGGTGGGTAGCTTTACAAGGTGTATACAGTCTGATCTTGCAAAAACCTAATCTGACCATGACATAGAAGGTGACTGAAGTAATGGACTGGAAAAGCTGTTCTTTGTGCCTTCTAGTCTTGTAATGCTCTATGGATGAGAGGAAGGCAAATGTACTCAGATGCTGTGCCAGACAACCTATACGCATAGTGCCAAAACACTTCAGCAGCTTTTGAAGTACTTAACTTCTGCAATTGACATTATTTTCTGTGAGAAAGGTGTTACTGCTAGCAGGTCAGTGCTTTGTTCTGAACTTCCATTAAGAGTGAGGTTGCCTCAGAATCCCACAGCCCCAGTTCAGTTCAGTGAACAAGAAAAGGACAAGTAATCAAACATAATTTTGTCAGCAATATACGTTCCATTTGTGAGGAATATGGTCACAACAGTCATAGCTCCAGAACAACAAAAAACATGTGCATCTTTTGCATCCCACAGGCACAGAAGAACCTTGTTTCTTTAGAGTAGGAGGATCTCTCAATCTGTCTGCTTCATGCCAGAGGGTCAGTGGGGAATGAGAATCTGCATGAGGAGTTGCTGTAGGCTGTAAAGGCATTATTTCACAGCTTAAAGCCAGGACTCACACTTCCCTAAGATTTCAGCACATAATTTTCCTTTTAATTAAATGCACTGAAATTGTGTGAGGTTTCAAAATAAGGTACAGACCAGTAAGTCTCTGCAATGGCAGAAATAAAAAATTCCTATAGCATTCAGTTGATTCAGAAGCACTTTTTTTTTTTTTAATACTTTCCTTGCAAGTGAACCTCCATCTACTGCTGTATTTCTGCACATTTACGCCCATCCTCGCCTTTTTACTTTCAGCATTACCTAAGCAAGGTGCAAACAGCACTGCACACTGGAAAGAATTCCTCTTGCACTTGGTTCTTTTTGACACCAATCTGTGAAATTCTACACATGCCTGCTCATAGGAAGATATTTCCTATTCTTCATAATATCCAATAATTTCCCCTGACAGAGTCCATAAAAACAATACATAAAAAAAATAGAGCAGATATGAATGAATGTATAATTTGACTATTTTTAGCTGCTTACCTTTACTGTAACATTTTTTCTATGAGTTTAAAATGGATGACACATCCTAAATAGGTTAAATCCAACTTGGCACACTAATACTTGTTTTTTCTACAACTTCTCTAAAACAAAAGGCATACAATACCTGCTAAGAGACCAGAAGACCTACTATGAGCATTCTCTAGTTTACATCACTCTGATGATTTCACTCATTCAAACACGATGACACCTTTGAATATCAGTGAATCTAATGCTTCTTGCTACTTCCTTAGGAGCAGGTACTTGGATGGTCAAGATGAGAGCCAAGTGACAGAAACTCAAATGCCAAAACTGAGAGCGGGCTCTTTCTCCTCTTAAATGTTCAGACCAAATTTTTTGCACACTAGGTCAAACTGAAAGTATCTTTTCAAAATGGCTTTCAAATGAATTTTCCTTTGTATCAACCAGAACAATGACTACTTCATTCCTAAAGCTATGGTAAGGAGGGCAGACTTCATATGCTACTTTGTATTCCCTCAGAGCTCTACATATCAAATATTTAAGCAACAAGCATCCAAGTTATTCACCAATTAAGATAAAACAGTGATTTTCCAGGTGTTGTCAATAGACTTCTGGTGCTATGGGAAAAATTTAAAATTTGTACATGAAGAAAGGCTCCACCTAGTTACGTCTGCAGCTTTTAAATCATGGTTTTAAAAAACCCACACTCTTTTCCTAGTTATTACTCTACGAGCTTGTTGTAGTAACATTACAAATGATACATAATAGTGGCAAGGTCCCTGCAAGGCCTTCAAACACTGAAGAACCCTCCCACAAAGATAAACACTACATCTTACATACAGCTGGATTACTGCCAAAAGGCAGAAAGCTGAGCAGTTACAGAAAGGACTATGGTTAAACAGTACAGTTGCTAAGGAATAATTCTACATCATTAAAGGAGACAGAACATGAAGAACAAAGTTAGATTTAATGATTAAATTATTACTGAACCGATCTCCTCTTTTCCTTTCTCAATAGTTACACAAAGTATCAGGTTTTGGTAATAGGCAATATATATGAACAAAAATATATGCATTGCACAAAGAGAAAAGGAACACTGAAATTATATAAAAAATAATGTCATGTAGGAAATAAAAGTGATGCATTAGTGGCAAAATGTAAATGGAATTATTTTAGTAGTCAAAATAAATATTTAATAAAAAGCACACATTCATGACAAATTATCAAAATGAAGAACTTAAGAGTTTGGAAGGATCTCATCCACATTTCCTTGCATTAAACATGGCTAAATTCAGTGGTTTAAATATTATCAAATTGCTCTGAGCAATCACTCTTAAGTTAGTGTCATAAAAAAAATCATGAGACAAAAAATTCTGTCCAATGAACAGTAAATCCATTATACTAAAAAAGAATTTCCTACACCAAGGAATCAATCCACAGTCATTGAAACACAGTTCACAAGAACCACTGCATAGCATACTGCTTACTGTACCAAAAGTGCATTTGCCAGCATTTAATGAACTGAGGGAAAAAACAAACAAAAAAACCCCTTTTTTTGTATATATGTATATACATTTAAAAAAAAAAAAAAAACAACAACAAAAGCCAAACCCCAAACAACTAGGTGTTTCATAGCTGAAGAAAAAACACATTTTCTTTAAAAGTAAAAGTAGACTCTAATAATCTTAAGAGCACCATAGGAGTTATCAAGTAAAACCGTACAAAACTTTGCAGTAAGTGAAGAACAAATACAATTATTGTATCATTCCATATTTAGAACACAACTGAAAATTTTAGTGTTGCTGCTGCATTGTCCTATGGTCTAATGGATACATACCATGCCAGTGGCATTTTATTGACTTTTTGCTGAGCCCTGGAAACAAGTAACACAGAAAAATGCTTTCCTATGTAGCATAAAGGTATAGAAAGATTTAAATTGCTGATGTGCCAACGGAAATGTAGAAAATGTTAATACAAACAGATTTTAATGGCAGCAGTGTCTGGCTTATCCCATTAGTCCTCCACTCAGTTCTTTTGCTGACTCTTTTAAAGTAGCATTCCTGAATATCCCTGGCTTACAAATAATTTTTGAGTCATTTTCTCAATTTTAAGAGTCTGCATTTAAAATTGTTCTCAGCCCATTATCCTTCAATCCCCATCCATCCCCCTCATATTTAAAAGTTGTAGTTTTGTTGCATAAAACATTACTGCGAATTCTGCTTCTTATTAAGTGACAGACAGTCAAGATGTTCTATCTGCAAAATACTGAAATCACCTTCCAGTTGGTTTATATATTAAACAGCAATTAAAAATAGTACACCCCCATACTCTATCGTGACATAATAAAGGCTATTCACCATTTAATATACGTTCAATCTCTTCTAGTCTTTTCAAAGCAGCAACTCTCTTTTTCTCAATATCTTTGATTTCTTTTGTGGATTTTTTGGGAGTCTCTTTTTTTTCCATACTGTTTTTCTCTGCTTGTTTCTTATTTTTTGAACGTCCTTTATTGTTACCAGCTGTTGTGTGAGAGGATTTCTGCTCATTTTTCACTTCTTTTGAATTCTGAATTTTTTTTTTTTTCTTCTGCAGCAGCAGTGGCAGTATCATCTGCTGGAACTGATGACTGCTCCGGAGCACTAAGTGATGCAATTTTACTTCTAACTATGCTTAGATGACGTTGAATATACTCTTCATGAGGTGCCAGTGCTAGAGTTTCCACCAAACATTTTTCTGCTTTTATTAAGTCTCGTTCTTCAAAGTAAACTACACAAAGGTTATGCTTCCCTTGCACATTGTTGGGATCCAGTTCCAAAATTTTTTCAAAACACTTTTTTGCTCCAACTATATCCTTCTTTTGGTTCATTAGGATATCTCCTTTCAAAATTAGACCTTTGGTATGATCAGGGTAGTATTTCAATAAGTCTTCCAGGATGGGCAAAGCCATCAATTCTTTTGCTGTCTGAGAATAAAGCAGTGCCAAATTGAACAAAGCACTTCGAAAGTTTGGCTGTAACTTTATGGCTTTCTTCATCCATGCCTCTGCTTCTGTATCTTTTTTGTCATCCATTGCCAGCATACCCAAATTGAAATAACCATTTGCATCCTGTGGTTCTTCTTTCACATAATTTAACAGTCTTTGTTTAGCCTCAGGTCTAAGCTGAGCATTGCCTATATGAGAGAAAATACATTTTAAGTTTTATTCTAAACACTTGTAGGCCAGACCTGTAAATTGCTGATTTCTATATAAATTAAAATGTAACATTTGTGAAAAGGAAAGGGTTTAAAATACTACTTTTTATTTGTGTTGTGTAACAGTAAAAGTAAATGACAGTTACCTTCTTCACAGAACAAAACTACTTACAATGGACTTGTAGCCAAAGTAAGCATCATTATCTTATTATCTGTTAAATTATACTACGATTCAGTGCAACGGATACAGAAGGTGTCTCTACAAGATTAAAAGCAGTTATTTTCATGTATGAGTGAGCAACTGGAATGCAGAGAAGTCAGTTCTAGCAAATCACTTTTAACAGAGGCAAACTTAGAATAAATATCATTTTCTTAAAGACATAGAATCAAAGAATCACCAAGGCTGGGAAAGATCATCCAGTCCAATTGTCCACCAACCAGGAATATTTCCCATTAAACCATGTCCCTCAGTACAACATCTAAATGTCTCTTGGACACCTCCAGGGATAGTGACTCAAACACCTCCCTGGGCAGCCCATTCCAGCATCTGATCACATATTGAAAAGAACTACAGTTGACAGAGATCACATACAGTGATGTTAGATTCAGCCACAAAATATATTCTATTTCACATCAAACACTTTAAAAAAAATTAAAAATAACCTTCTGTCAGACAAAAGCAGCAGTTCTGGCTTGTAGTCTGTGCTGGTTTTGTGAATACTTCAGTGAACATATTCTTTAAGGAATTACAGGCACAGGCTTACTGAAGGATGGGGGAATAGGAAGCTGATTTTAACTATCTTCTTCCACCTCCTCAAACAGTTCTGTACCTTCCAGTAAGAGTTAATGCAAAGCTAGATGTCTAATACTTCTGCTCACTTGAAGCCTATGTGCTACTTCAGACAAGAAACAAAGTGTTTCTTGTACTGCCTAACTTACTATGTGAAAAGAGATGAGAAATAATCCATTTGGATCAGCTCCAATCAATTCTATAATCTCGTTTGGATGATAAATTACCCCTAAGAAAAAGGGAAACAAACCTTACTCATCACTTGCTAATTACTTTCAACAGCCTTTTTTATGGCAACAGCCACACATTTGCTCATTAAGCTAGCAGCTGTACATATGAAAAACAAAACTAATAAAAATCCAACTTGATAATTAGAAATATTGCAGAGGAAACTACGAAAACATTTTGCAGTGTTAGATTTAAAACCCAAAGAAATCAGATTTTTTAGTCAGTGAGGAATGGATAAAACCAAAACAAATTCAGAACATTAGTATTATACATCTCACTTTTTTTTTTTTTTTTTTTTTTTTTTTTAAGATTATAGAGGAAAAATTCTGAAGAAGAGTTTTGTATAACACTATTCTTAACAAGATGTTAAAGTGTAAAATAGCTTTCAAGGTATTAATCAATTAGAATATATGTATACTTGGCATATTCCACATGCTACTAATAAATTACAAAGATGACTATTACTATAATACTACAAATACTACTCCTTTTCAAAAACACATCAATTCATTAAAATCCTATAAATGCAAAGATACAATAATTGCTTACAGAGACAACTAACTTACCAGATTCCTGCATTAGCAGGGCTGAGTTGAACAACGCCAGCTTATGCATTGGGTTGAGTTCTAGCGCTTGGTTAAAATTCTTCAGGGCTTCTGTTGGATCTTTCAGTTCAATGTAAACAATTGCCAAGTTGTACCACAAGTCTGCATTGGTTCTGTCTAGTTCTAGAGCCCTAAGGTAAGCTTCCTTAGCTTTCAGAGGCTTGTTCATTTTTAAAAGTAATTCTCCCCTGTTAAAGAATCAAATTTAACCTTCAGCAAGTTTAACTGATAGAAGTACAAAACAATTAACAGTGTTTATTTAGAAGCTTGTTTTCCTACAGAAAGTAGATGTGAAACATTTTTTCTTTTTTTTTTTTT